AGGAAGGGAAGGGAGGAGGGAAGCATCGTGCACTGCCTTGCATCGCTGAATTTCCATCCTCCGTGTATCTCTCCGCAGTGACTTGTGCCCCCCCTCCCCCCCAGGACTCGTGTGTACTTCTGCAGAGGTCAGCGACGTGTGCACTAATTGATCTGGGAGAAAATCACTGCCAAATCTCAAGGACTTTTCCCTTTCATTGCCGCAGACTTCACCACCCCCCCCTCCAATCCCCGAGGCCGTAAGCAGCTACTGCCACTGCAGCCAGTGCTTTGGGATCGGGGGATCGGGGAGGATGGTGGAGGGGGGGTGGGGGTCAGCCGGTCATTGCTGACAGAGAACGATAGAACGAGAGCAGCGAAAGGAAACTGCTGCGCTTGAGAAATACACGGCCATTGTGGCCGGAGTGTGAATGCGACGGGGATTTTTTTTCAGAATGCAAAATTAAAATTTCCTCGCTCTCCTAATCCCCCCCCCACCCCCACATAACCTTTTGACTGTTTAGTGTAATTCAGCAAAAAAAATGCGTCCCGTATTTCACACGTGCGTTGTTGGATGCTGCATCGGCAATAACGTACTGCACTGCACACAGTTGTGCCACCTCTGCCCTTAAAATGACCTTCCCCTCTAACGCCAGTGGCAGTCAATATGCCGGCATTCTGCAGCAACTCCGCTCTTCGCTTATTATATAATTAGCGGGACAATCCGGTGCGCTATAAAGGCCGCTACAAATACATTTGAGCATTACAAAAATGTTTTGCGCCATGTTTACATTTTTGACAATTGCAATGTAAAAAAAAAATGTTTATGTATTTTTTTAATTATTCCATGCGTAAATACGTAATGGCCTGATCAAATTGCTGAAAAGGTGTTGAGACAAATCATAATTAGTCTGCCAATCTAGCCATCCATACATTAATTCGCTTCAATTGGCTGAGAAATTATGATCTAATTTTGACTTGTGAATGCTGTATAAAGTCATTGTATTTAATGCAAAACAGTTACAAGGCGGTGGGAATTATGCAGCAATGATGATGTCACAACGATGACGAAACTGTTTGAGGAGAGGCTAAAGAGATAGAGGATGATGCAGTATTGTGATAAACTAAAGCATGGACATTTATAGGTGGTATTTAGCAATATTTATTGTCACCACCGCCATCATCATCTTGAGACGTAATGTATCCACTGCTGGATGATGGCGTTCCCAAGCCATCTCCATCTTTCAAAGTCTTACGCTTCGACAAATCGTCATTAACTTGCACACGAGATGATTTCATCACTCCGTCTCCACGGCGTGTTTTACCTCCTTGAGCTGACACTCTGTCGTTAGTCTCGGCCACTGGTCATCATCCCTTTCCAGCAAAAAAAAACAATTGAACACATTTTTGTTAAATTTTATTTTACCAGGTATTGCCCACTGAGCTATTCAGCTCTTTTTCAGAAGCCACCTGGCCACAAATGATAGGTCAACGAAGCGGCTTATCACGTGGAAATCTATAACAGCCGAATACTTTAAACACATGATGTTGATTCTAAATGTGGAAGGAAAAACCGGAGGACCCGGAGAAAAAATCCACACGACCACGGTGAGAGAGACATCCAAACTCCAAATATACAGCAGGTGTCAGGGTTTGAATCGAACCCACGACCTCCTGTATACCAGGCGAGGGAGATAACATCTCGCCACCGCAGCAACGTGTCCTGCACTTTTCCTCTTTGTGTCCCTCAGTATAATTCCAAGCGTGCACCACTCCATCCTTTGTGGGACATTATCAGATTTTGTTCCACTCTGGAAATTTCCCTATTTCTGACTCATACGTCATAGCAGGTGATATACACTGATACTGGTAGGAACCTCCTGGTTACACCAGCCCACAGAGGATTATTGTGTCCGTCCGTCGTGCATCCAAAAATTGGAGGGGTGGAGCTGGGTGGAGAGGGGAGGGTGGAGAGGGAGGGGCTGGGTGGGGAGGGGAGGGTGGGGAGGGGCTGGGTGGGGAGGGGCTGGGTGGGGAGGGGCTGGGTGGGGAGGGTGGGGAGGGGCTGGGTGGAGAGGGGCTGGGTGGAGAGGGAGGAGCTGGGTGGGGAGGGGAGGGTGGGGAGGGGCTGGGTGGGGAGGGGCTGGGTGGGGAGGGGCTGGGTGGGGAGGGTGGGGCTGGGTGGGGGGTGGGAGGGGTGGGGCTGGGTGGGGAGGGGCTGGTCACCCCGTGGTGCCCTTATAAAACTCAACGTTTAACCTACTCACGCCGGCTTGTGCCCGCCCTCACAGTCGGGCATATTGTGTGGAATACACCACGCCGCCGTTGACCCTGGCCATTGACCGAGCAACCCGACGTTCCTCCCAGCTCCCTCCGCAGGAATGTGTTTAAACATTAAATAGGTAAACCGAGAAATTATTAATGATCAGATTTTGCATGCTGATGGGCATTTCAAGTGACCATTAGAGGCATATGTGAACTTAAGCAGTCCTGTTTATGACCACAAAGGCACTTGATGACTCTCTTCAGGCGGCACTCGACACAGAATGGGTTTCCATTCACATGCAGAAGTTGACAGGTACCTCAAGACTAAATGCAACTTTACTTTAAAAACATCTTCAGGGATCACATGACGGAAATAAATGAGAGCTCATGAATCACTTGCCACATACAGCATTTCAAGTGCTGTAGGCCAGGTAATTAATGATTATACATGAACATCTTTTTTTCTTCATAAAATAAGGACAAAACTAAGGTTATGAATGCACTAAAATCGATCATTGAAATGATCTGGATGATGCACAATTATTCAGCGGCACATATTCAGCATTTTCAAGCAGAGTATTTGAGCCAAAATTTGCCACATTGCATTTGTCAAGCCTTTGGTTGGCGACCTTTGTGGTCATTTTTTTATTGATAGCAATTAATTGGAGGTAAATCACATTACATTTTCTTTTGCAATATCTGCTGGTGACATACGTAGTGTTTGTGTTGGTTGCGTGGCATGCTCTAAAACTGAACATCAATAGACTGCAATTCAAAGTGATGTGACACATTAGTAATTAAACGTATTCTCAAACTCAACAAATGGTCTAACAAAACTTAGACAGGTAAATATGATGGAAAAAAATATGAGGTCACGTGTTAATGTCTGCAACTTTAAAAAAGACAATGGCACTATCACTACAGTAATCAAGCAATTAGTTAATTAAAATTGATTGTTTCAATCATTATGGTGACCCTGAGTTAATTGTACTTGTCCATCATATCAGTGACTGCATCAGCACATGCGCTCTCCGTCTTTTGGAACGCCCTCATTGTTGTTCAATACTCGGTTAGTGTTGTGCAGCATTACTACTCTGATCCGAAGTGTACTTGTGACAGTTGTGACAATACACGGTCCGATGAGCTTCGGTACACGACAAACGAGGCCCTGAATTAAGCAGATTCCTAACTTCTTCTTCTTCATGATGATCATTATTTTGCTTTTTTTTACCAAGGAAAGCCTCGCTGAGTCTCGTGTCTCTTTTTCAGCAGGGTCCTGCCAAGTTTTCGCAGTAGGAGGAGGGGTGGATGCAATGATTGTTCCGTGATCATTGTTACATTGTTTTTTATAGCTTGATTTTGGTGATTTTTAAAACGTTTTGGTTTAGCCATCTTTGTTTGTTGTAGTACAGAGAGACTGATAACTGTAATCTAAATTTTCTTATGGTTGTTATTGTTAGACTTGCATCCCACTGGGATTTTTGCACACAGCGTTGATATTCGGTGCTTTTTCTGGAAGACTTTGCTGTTTTTTGACTGGATTTTTTCTGTTGCCCTAGTCACTTTAAGATGTTTTCTTGTTCATGTTTTTTGGTTGTTGCGTTTGCACCCCATTCAAGAGCCGAATGGCTCACAGGGCTATACCAAGTGAATGAAACTGAAAACTGTACATTCCAATTGAGTTATTGTTTTCTTCAAATTTGAAAATATTGGATGGTAATGCAGGAAAACAATGTAAGGCTATTCACACTGTGTACAAATTGTTTAATCTATGTCAGCAATTCATTTCTGCTTAATCATATAGATGCCAATTTCATCGCTCGCTGTCAAAAGGGTAAAACGATAGACATTCGCCGTTCAGTCAGCCAGGCTGATCCTGTTATATCTGAGAAATGACTTGAACAAATTTTTATAGTATTTGTTGTAAATGTCAATAATTAGCAGCTTTGCCTGATATTTCTTCCACGATGAAAAGCAAACGTGAATTGCATTAAGGTCATGAAGTCAAGCGGTGTGTAAAAACTGCCACAATTACAATATCAACTAGATTTTATAATGAATAGCTAAATTAATCTCAGTATTGTATTCATCTTCTGTGTCTGACTTGGCAGGTGCCTATTCATTCATTTTGTAAATTAATCCATTTAGTTGCAGAAGAGAGCTCACCAACGGGTTAATTTACTGTAAGTGTCCAGCTGTGTACAGTATACAGTTTAAATAACACCTCAAAACACATCAAACGATATGGGAACCCATATTATCATCGAGGTAATGTGTATGTCAATGTATAGTGGCCATTCACCTATACTTGTTTTCAGGATGGTCCTGCATTTAGGATGTTTGGACATTTCCATTCGTTCGTGTTTGGCTTGTTGTGACGCCACCAGAGTACCGTGGGAAATCAGCATTCGGGCGCGGCGGGGGGGGGGGGTAACAATAAAAGCTCTGCACAGTTTGATTTAAGAATGCATAGCCATGCAGCCCCCTCCGCTTACCATGTCACGTGACCACACTTCAGCACGCTGAACAGCGCGTTGGTGAAGGCGGCGGTGGTGGGGGGAGGCATAGACGTCGTACCAGAGTGCAGCGGTACCACAATGGAATTTTCCCCACGCCCGCATACTGACAACCGTGCAGTCTTTTAGCACGCTGAGGTTTTACAACGAAACCAACCAACATGCCGCATGGCAGGCGGGAGGCCCAAACCGCGATCAGAAAGCGTCCCCCCCCTCCCGCCTCGCCCCCAATACAACTCACCTAGATAGAGCGAGGCGTTCTCCTCCTTCACGTTGTCATCCAGGTAGGTGGGCCCCAGGATGTAGATGGGAGTGGAGCCCATGCCCACCAGGATCTGGGCGCTCATGAACAGCGCCAGGTAAATCCCGTGGCTGCCTCCCCCGGTGTTCCTGTCGCAGGGCTTCGCCGCCTTGGACTCGCCCGGGGACAGAGAGCTCGCGTTGGCGATGGCGTTGCTGGCGGAGCCGCACAGAACTTTGTCGCTGTCCCGTCGCTCGGCCTCGAGCTCCTGGAAGCGCGCGGCGTAGTTTTCGTGGTAAGGCGGCGACAGGAAGTGGGGCATCGTGAAGATGACCGCTCCGAGGGCAATGAGGGCTCCGCCGACGGCCAGCCAGCGTGGCCGGTGACCCCGGCCGCCGTAGTAGCTGACGGCCACCACCACCAAGAGGCTGCCGATGTCAAAGCAGCTGACCAGGAGGCCCGACTCGGAGCTCTTGAGATTGTAGCGCTTCTCCATGGTGGTGATGACGCTGCTCAGGTAGCCGGACACCATGAGCGCCTGGATGAAGGTCAGGATGCAGATGCAGAGGAGGAAACAGCGCGAGTCGGCGAACTGTTTCGTGCTGATGTACCTCCTGACCCGCAGGACCACTGCCTGCCAGGTGCACGCCAGGTCCGTCGCACCGCCGTGATGATGGCCGGCCACCACGGTCCCACCACCACTCTTGTTCGACTCCGGGTCAGCCGCCACCCGATGGACACCCCCGGCCACGCCATTGAGGTCGGGAAGGCTCTTGGACTTCATCCGCTCCTTGTTATCGTCCGCCTCTTCTTCCTGCCGCCGCTGCTGCTGCTGCTGAGCGGCTCGGCAAGGCATGGTCACGCAGACGCATAGATAGATGATGATGACGATGCGAAGCTTGTTGTTATTGTTGGGTTCTGAGTGTGTGTGTGTGGCTGCTGCTGATGCCCACTACTGTGAGCGACTCGTCTCTGCACGAGCGCAGGAGAGGCACGCTGCACGCAGTGCAATGCGATGGGGATGCAGAGCGGGTAGAGTGTGTGTGTGTGTAACTGTGTGTGTGTGACTGTGTGTGTGTGTCTGTGTGTATGTGTGACTGTGTGTGTGTGACTTTGCTCTCGCAACACAAACGCTAACAAAAAGCGCAAAGCAGCAGCAGCAGCGTATTGCCACCGGAGGCGAAGTGTTCATTCAGAGGACGTCCCGACACACGCCTGCCTGTACGCGTACGTCTGTTCCGCTGCGCAAAACGGATGCCGCCGCCGCTGCTGCTGCTGAGAAGGCGCAAAGAGCACTTGTACGGAGGAAGACACTGGATGGGCAAATGCGCATCCTCCTGCTCCCGTTGCTTGCCCCTTGCTGCTGCTGATGCCGCTGATGCTGATGCCCTAAAACCCCCTAGCACCGCTGGGTTGAAGTTCTGGGTGGCTGTGATGTCACGACTGGGCTTTGTGCTCACTCAGCAGGACTGGGCATCCACGAACCACGTCACCCGCATGCACACCCTGCATGGAGCCTGAAGCAATGACGTAACCGCCCTTTGAAGTCTGCATGTACCGCCGCATGTATCTCTCGCTCGCTCTCTCTCTCGTCGTCGTATGCCGCAGCGCGCGTTAACATTGAACCGGCATCAAGGGGCATTTAGCTGAGCTGTCGCGAATCCCGCGCGTTCACACCGGGCCGTACGAATCGTAACACACACAACAAAAAACGACCCATAAGTCCGCTTGTTTTAGCCGCGGGCATCTATTGCTTACGAGAAGCCTACACGTACCTTAGTTTGGCTCTGTGAGCCTCAGGCATTAACACTTGAACCCGAATTAATGAGCCTTAATCTGGCTCTATGAGCCTCGTGTATTAACATTGAACCTGAATAAAGGAGCCTCAATCTGGCTCTACCAGCCTCAGACATTAACACTGAACCCGAATTAATAAGCCTTAATCTGGCTCTATGAGCCTCGTGTATTAACATTGAACCTGAATAAGGGAGCCTCAATCTGGCTCTACCAGCCTCAGGCATTAACACTGAACCCGAATTAATGAACCTTAATCTGGCTCTATGAGCCTCGTGTATTAACATTGAACCTGAATAAGGGAGCCTCAATCTGGCTCTACCAGCCTCAGGCATTAACACTGAACCCGAATCAATGAGCCTTAATCTGGCTCTATGAGCCTCGTGTATTAACATTGAACCCTAATCAAGGAGCCTCAATCTGGCTCTCAACGAGCTTCAAGCATTATTCATACTAAAACCTATAGATCATAAATTGAAGATGAGTCTGCCTCTTTGAGCATTGAGCATTCCTACTTTTAATCATAAGAAGCCTAAACGTGCCTTAGTCTGGCTCTGTAAGCCTCTGGCATGAATACCCAATCACAAGATTGCCCAAGTATATTTTGTCTGGCTCTATGAGCCTCAGACATTGTATCCCAAGGATCAAGGATCCCAAGGGAGCTCGAGTCACACAAAGCAATCCGTCAAATACCCCAATACATTACCCCGCTAAAGATACTAATTGAAGGCTCTCCAGGAAATGTGTGTGATTATGTCTGGCACTTTTCTTTCAATGGGTGTATATGTATAGGAGACCGCTGTGCATCTATATAATTCGATTACAATACGGAACATACGCATGATAAATGAAACTGTGGTAGTAATAATAATACAAGTTTCTGCCATGTGGTGCGGGTTTTACACGTTATTAATGTAGACGTTAACCTCTCGAGTAGAAAGCGTGATGATGATTGACACTGCGCAGGAAGTTAACACAGCAGTAGATTCACATTGGGCTTGTAATGTATGGGTTTTTGTTGTTGTTGTTGTTATAATAATGATAGCAAGTATAAGAGAAAATGTAATGAAACTCGCCCAGGGTAGCGTGCAACAAGGAGATGGAGTTGTGAAATCACATCGTGTTTTGTGCTCGGTGGAATATTACATCGACGGATTTGTGAGAGTTGGTGACGGCTTTGAGAGGTCTTCATCCAACAGTGGATCGATCATGGCTGTCGATAATGATTATTGTGAATCGGTAGCGAGCTTCGACTGCTTTTTGGTGGTTTTAGCGTCACACTCAGTGAGAAGCACATTACCTGGTTCACTGATGACGAGCTTAATATTGGCTTCCTAGCATTTCGAGAACATGGTTATAATGTACACTAGTAACGAGCATCTACATGTATTCATCATCATAATAATCATCATAATAAGCACTCCCAGCCATTTGTCCACTGCTGGATGCATGTTTCCCCATGTCCTCACCATCACTGCTACGTTCCTGGGATGCCAACATCTATTTGCATAAAATACAGGGGTTTTTTGGGTGAGATCACGTAAATATCTAAATGTGTCGTTAAACCCGCCACCACCCGACACAGCCAACTAGTAAGGGTTTGTCACGTAAACAGAACGTGCCAATTCGTCACTAGTACAGCACACCGGGTGTGTTGGAGAGCCAGGCCACAACATTTACAATCTGAGTATGACGTTTCGCCAGTGATTACAACTAGCACCATCAGGCGACAGCCAGATTTGTGGGGAAGTCTTACTGTTTCGTTGTGGCTTGGCTCTCCAACACACCGGTGTGCTGTACTAGTAACGAATTGGCACGTTCTGTTTACGTGACAAGCCTTACTAATTGGCTGCGTTGGGTGGTGGCGGCTTTAACGACGCATATTTACGCGATCTAACCCCAAAAAACCTGTATTATGGATGATATTGGTCGCGAAGGCCTACGTGTTAATCTGACTAACATCTAATTGTGTGTATGTTAACTTCTTCCTCACCGTACGTAGCCGACCGTGCTAATCGGAGGTTGCAGCTGCCGCACGTGACCTGTGGTTGTCGTTCCATTCCCAGAGTTGTTGATCGATTATCATTATCTCTTCTTGGTGTGCCCTGCACGAGCCCACTTCGCTTGTCTTCACAGTCAAAGGCATGCCACCATTGTGTGCGATATTGGTTGTCTGATCCGTGTGTTCTTCCTTCACTCACTCGGTGTCGTTGTTTCTGATCCACGTGATGGCAGGTACCCTTCAATGACTAAAGTTTGTATTTTCTATCTACCTTGCTTTGCATGACAAAATACAGTTTCCCAAGAGCACTGCATCCTGTTCTCGTTAACCTCTCTGCGTCATCATTTTGATCAGTCCGTCTGCAAGGACTCCTCGAGATTTGTGTCCCGACAAAAAAAATCATCATCGTTTCCTTTTGTTCAAAAGTCATTGTGCATGACATCGTTGAGATGCACATCTTGTATCATTTCTGCTGGTAGCTCTATAACAGGAACCGTGTTTATAAGACAGCAATCTAAAGGCAGCGTTCTTAATCGCAAGGCCCGCGGGCCGCTAGGGACCCCCCTGGTGGCTTGTAGTACGGCCCCTGACAATTCACGAATGTGAAAACACTCCACCCATCAGCATCGCGCTGCTGTCAAACCCCACAATGGTTTAAAATTGTTTGGGGGCACTCAACACTGACGACGTCTTATCGGCGAAAGTGCCTCGCCTCTGAAAATTCGTGATGAACACTTCCCTAAAAGTATCCTTCTTCATAGCATAAACATACTTGTCTCTCCGAGTTCTACATGAACAAGGTTATCTGCGATTTCGTATGCAATTGTGAAGAGTGTGCACGTACATATGCAGTCCTTTGTTAGCTAACCGCTGTATAAGGGCCTCCCCATGCCGTGTCAGTCATTGGGGGTTATTTATCCAAGCTGGTCAGTGCGGGCTGGTGAAAGTGGGGAGCAAAAATGTGGGAGCGTTTAAGTACGTCTCCAATCTTGATTTGAAGCTTTCGTGACTGCAGGAACCCATACTCTTGGGTTCTTTCGGTAAAGTCACGTAGGTATGAAATAAAATAAATCACGACGTTTCGGGCGCAACACAAGCGCCCGAAACGTCGTGATTCATGAAATAAAATAAATCACGACGTTTCGGGCGCAACACAAGCGCCCGAAACGTCGTGATTCATTTTATTTTCTACCTACGTGACTTTACCGAAAGAACCAAAGAGTACGTCTCCAAAAGCTGTTGCTACATTCCCCTCTGCTACTCACAGAGTAACCGTGCAGCAGCGCATGAAAACGTGTCTCGCGCGGGAGTTGGCCTCGCCTCCACAGTGCTGCATCACAGCCGTGCGCCACAAACGATTGTTCTATGTGGAACATATTGTCAATATCGAAAGGTGCGCAGTGTAAAAATGAGCACACTGCATTTGCCAGCACATCTCAAATATAGCGTATGTGCATTGTTGCATGCAAAATGAAACACAGTGCAAGTACAGTATTCCTTTTCCACACTTTTGCCAACGTAACCAATCTTCAGTTCAGCATGCGGGTGAGCATCCTACATCGTATGTCCTGTAAGCAAGGCGTTATTCATCACTGGATATGTTTTTCCTGGGTCGCTGGTAGACCACAATGAGCACGAAGCCCGTGGCCACAGCGAAATGCCGGAATTGTGGATGTGATGTGCCGGATGTGGAAATATGTTCTGGATTACAAGTCGGATATTTAAACTCCTTACTGTGTCTCAGTGGCGTATATATTTGTTTTAAAGTGCCCGTGGCCATGAAGGGCACACTGGCCCTTGATACGCCCCATCCCCCCGTGATCTTGCTTGTGTTCTGTGCTCTTACATAAATAGAGAGCAGCGTAGTTGATGAGATCAATAAATAAACACACGTAAAAGTTTAAAAGTGTAAGCATGTAAAAGTGTAAACATGTAAAATTCGCATGTGGCACTTTTTTACTTTTAATCAAACATAGTTTGCAGACTAAAATAAAAAAAAATATTAATTCCAAGACAGTGGTAATGCACACGTGCAGCATTCATTTCACATACTGTACTGCATAATTCACAGCATTGCCTATGACCAAAGTGTCCGTGATGTGCCCGATCGTATCACATTTCAGAAGCTAAGCAGGCTCGAGCCTGGATAATACTTTGGGTTGACGATCATTACGCATCACCGGTTTCATAGGCTGCGGGATTACGCGGTTGGAAGAGGGTGATTGGAAAATGTGTTGTACTGTACTCTCCGTGTACGCTCCGACGTCTATGCTCCCAAACTTAACAAACCCACCACTAACGAGCGTGGTGAAATAATCTGGACCATAGGGAGAAGACCCTGCTCCAGCAATGGATTGACTGCTGGAGCAGATAATTATTTAAACAAACGATTTGAATAAATCCGAGATAAATTTGAATGCGTATTCAGCAGTTACACGTTTCCCTGAATCTGCAGAACCCTCTGCCGCATTAATCTTTAAACTTTTAAAGACATCACGGGAGGATTTACATAAACGGAATGGCCGAAATAACCCGGGTGTGCCATTCTCAATGCAGTTCCTGAACGGGTGGGTAATAGTTGACAGACTCTATATAAAATTGAAAGCCAATAAAATATATCCCTAGCTTTTAAAGTAATGGCAACAGTATACCTTTGCAACTGGTGCATTATATGGGTGGAATAAAATGCGTCGTTGTGTTGCAATACAACCTTGGGTTTCCAACTGCCTTGGTTTTCTCGAGATCGTCATCTGACTGAGGTAGCTGCTGTCGTGGAAATCTGTCAGTCTTACCAGGACATTCGTAAACGTCCCAGCCTTTGTCACAAGGCACAACAATACATCCGTCACGACGACGCACAACAATACACCAGTTAAGACAAGTCATAACAATTCACTTGTCAAAACAATGCATTTACACGTATTTCTCCCTCCTGTATTATTATATCTTCTTCCCACGATATGTCCCAGGGCAACCCTAATACAATCGTTTATTGCTCACAATCATCAATGAAAGCAACTTTGTCAATTTTGTTACTGAAAAAAATATATGTTTACAAAAAAACATGACGGGGTAATTTTCTGCATCATGAAGCATTCCCCATTAAACTATTCCCAATCACTGTGAATCGGCTTCATTGGCAGTCATGCCGAGTCGTGGGAGCAATGGGAACGTCACGCTCTCAATGATGTCATCTCTAAATGTGGAAAATAATTCATGATCGCCCTCTTGTGGTGAGGCTACGGAACAAAGGCAATCGTCACATGTATAGCCCACTTTGCCTAGTGAGCCAAGTGCTGTTAGCGAGTACAAAAACAAAGATCCCCCGTGTAGCCTGTAACAGAATTTTGGGGCAAGTGCTGTTAGCGAGTAGCAGCACCTATGAAGGCTACCGGCACGGCACACGAGGAGGGGGTGGGGTGACCAGCGCAAATACCTGACCGCCTTTGTCTCCCCCAGTGGCGACGCTTATACATCGTACCAGGTACTCATTTTGAGGCTGAGTCGACCTAGGGGAGGCCCAGGGCCGGTTCGTATAATCGTCACCGGTGTTGGCCGTGAGCAGGAATCGAACTCGGGTGGCCGGGTTCGTAGGGCAGCGTAGCGCTAATCGCCACGCTACCGCTCCCCCAGTGCCGGATGAAGCAAGTGGCAGGGCCTGTAGCATATGGTATAAAGGGGCCTTAAATAACAAACATAAATGTAAAATATAAAATGTTTTACTTGCACAGTAAAGTAATTGTATCTTTTCATTTGCTATACAGCCAGATAATACGACAAATCGCTAACCTTAAACACCCAGTCGTTAATAAAAGTTGAAGGCGGTATAGTACTACAGTAATAGAGCAAGTACAGAATCACTGAACCGGAATTGATAGCTTGAAAGCATTTAGCGCGGGGCCCTTGAAAGTGCGGGGCCCGTAGCTACATAATATGTAGCTACTTTTGCTACTAGGATCATCCGAAACTGTCATCCCCCGAGTACAAAGACACAACACAAACACCCAACCACACTCTACCCGCGGAGCAATAACGAAAGCGAGACACATTCGTCAATAAAAAAAAGAATTATCTCAATGAAATTTTAGGCGGATTTTTCTTTTCTAAATATGTTATCGCGATGGACAACCCAGAAGGCTCTGCTAAGGCTGCTGGTAGTAATTATCTGGTGCGGTCTGTCGACTGCCCTTAGGAATATGTGTGCGCTTGTGTGGATAGTAACGCTTTTGTGGGGAGCGGTGGTGCAGCGGTTAGCGCGCTGCTCTGCGAACCCGGCGACCCGAGTTCGATTCCCGCTCAGCAGCCAGCATCGGTGACGATTATCTGCACCGGTCCTGGGCGACTCAGCCTCAAATGAGTACCTGGTGCGGTGTGTAAACATCGCCACTAGGGAGACAGAGGTGGCGTTCCGGCCTTCATAGGTGCTCGCTCACAGCACTTGCCCCAACAGTCTGGTAAGGCTATATGGGGAAATCTTTGTCTCTTATTAACTATTTTGGGGGAAGAGTGATGCACATATTAGTATCTGTAGACCCAGCTACCTGGGCTTTGGTTGTCGTCAAAGGCCAACATCAGTGGCAAATGACATCTGAACTGGTCCTGAGCCTGCCCCAAGGTCGACTAAATAAAATACCTGGAGATGTGAGCAAAATGAGAAATAATCAGCACTGGTAAGACAGAGGCGGCAGCGTACGAGGCTTGCCCTGGCCACACTACCCCATCGTGCACCTCTTGCCGACCTTTATAAGTGCTCGCCACCAGCACTTGCCACACCCACAACAGATCTATTAAAGGTCACAACAGGTGGTCTTTGTTCACTGTTTGCAGTGCGTGGCAGCAGTCGTCGGTGGGGACTTATCGGCCGCACCATAATTAGTTCCAAAGTCATAAAGACAGTCGATGAAATATCCTTACGAGGTTTAAAAAGGGGAGAGAGAGAGAGATATAGAGACGGCGTTGTGTGCGGCGGAGTGTTTGACATCCACGTGTCTTATTGCCCTGTCGGCAGAGGAAGTCCACGTGTGACGTCAATGGACCGAGCACCCTTTCGCTAATTAGCGAGATGCTAAAGAAAAGATGGGTGGGGTGGCACGTGCCCCCCCCCCCCCCCCCATGATCCGATCGAAATCCCTCATTTCGATCGGATCATTGGAGTTTATTAGTAATAAATTGACATTTTGCGACCCCCACTGCCAGTGTGTAGTATATTATTATTATGTGCTATGGACTCTATGATATCATAGGACAATAGTCTGAGTCCATAAACGGCAATAAGTAACGGAAAAGCAGTTACAAGTGACTCAGAATTGTGCGCAGTTGCGTACACAGAGTACACGACTTCTCTGAAGGCATCGACACCTTCAGTGAGCGCGATGGTGATCACGCGACGCGGTTCGAACTCGACTCTCGATCGATGGCTGTGCCATCTCCGCACACGTGTCGAATAAAAAGCAAGGGACAAGTCGTTACTTACTAACAACTCCTCTTTCATTTTTCATTGCTAGAGGGGTTGCCCCCCCTACCTGCGTAAGACAGCTCGGGTTTTTGATGTTGTTGGTTTTCACGACGTTTCGACTGCAACACAAGCAATCATCATCAGGTGTGAAAACCACAGCAAGATTATTTGAAAAAAGTGGCGGTTATTTTTAACGTTAGCACCACGGAGAGCGATTTGACAGTTTGTCCGGATGGACGAGTCCATCTATGTTCGGAAAAGAGGAGGGGGGAGACGAAAATAATGGATGCGGTCTGAAAGCCACCGTAAGCGTGAACAATCAATTAATACCCGAAATGGTTTATCAAATCCTTCCAATGATTGCTAAGCCAGAATTCATCTTCTCGGTTGAAATTGTCTCTGTGTTTGTATATGTGGATAGCCTCATGAACGAATCTCTCATGGTAGCCAGATGGCTTGCAAAGAACCTCTGTCTTGGGGAAGTCAGTGTCATGTGAGCCTACTGAATTATAACAGTGATCTGCCATGGCCGAAATGTTGGTCCTACCGTGTTTTAGGTCTGCTTTGTGTTCACGAATGCGATATGATAGGACAATATTTTATTGTTTCCCTTCTACGTGACTTTACCGAAAGAACCAAGAATATGAATCCCTGCAGTCACGAAAGCTTTAAATCCAAATTTAAAGTTGTTGGTTTTGTTGCCAATGTTTAATACATTACAACATAAATGCACCGACAAGTGATTATATTTTTGGTTTGACACGTAGGCTTTCGCGACCAATATCATCGATAAAATAATTAATACAGGTTTTATTTTTGGGTTGTATCGCATAAATATGTATATGTGCGAAACGTTGTACTCAGATTGTAAATGTTGTGGCTTGACTCTCCAACACACCGGTGTGCTGTACTAGTGACGAATTGGCCACGTTCTGTTTACGTGACAACCCTTACTAGTTGGCTGTGTCGGGTGGTGGCGGGTTTAATGACACATTAATATTTTTACGCGATCTAACCCTAAAAAAAAACTCTTATTGATTATATTTTTCTTGACATCACTTGCGTCTACAGTATATATATATTTTCTCTCTCATTTGTGCAAAATGTATTGGTTGTAAAATAACAAAAAGCAACGAATGGGACATTTTAAAACGAGACACAAATCTTATACCAAATGACAAGAAAAACACGAACGTGAGCTTAGTGTATTACGTTTGTATTCAAGTTTGCAAACGACGCATCGCAATGACATTTTATATATTTACAGATTCTGATATCATCACACTTTAATCATTTGGAATGAACGATTCCACGGGTGTAGAAAATATGTATCAACACGCGAATACTCTTTTTTTTAAAGACTTATTTTTTTATTGTAGCTTATAAAATGTATTGACGAGAGGAGACGTGATAACAATTCAGATCGGTATCATAGATACATATTACAGCATATGCGTTGTGCTTACTGTATGTGGTTATATTCACAATTTTGTCGGAACATAGTTCAGATTTGACGGATAAAAGTGTGTATGGGTGTGCCTACACAAACGTCTCTAGCACGTATATACAGTACAGTGGAATCCCGAAGGTTTAGCCTTAATCAATTTCAATCAAATTCCAGTTTTGATCATTGAACAGACCATTCGGATTAATGTTTTTGAGTAAAACAAAACCTTTGCTCAATAATAAATATTCTTGAGTAGACTTGGAACGTTAAAGAAATCGTCAAACCTCTAAAAGCCTCAAGCATTCTTGTAAAAAAAAAATACCTCAACGTTAGTGTTATCAACTACGCGTGTTAAGTTATATCGGTGTAATTGAATTAATGTTACTTTTTTTTAATGGCATATGGGATTTCTTATTTTATTTTTAAGGGCCGGTTGGACCAGACCCATGGATAAATATGGGTTATCGTAACCCTTACAATAACACCATTTACACTGATATTTTCTTTTAGAAATCAACCAAAGAAACCATCTTATCCTTTCACCTCAAGTAACAAAAAAAATCATGCTGAGTGGTAATTATCATTCTCATTTTTCTTCTCCATTTAGTACGAGTTAAGTGTCGCCGCCACATTTGTGCACACCTCTTGCCTGGAGACAGCATTTGTAGTGCTCCAACAACAACAACAAAACACTTCCCCTGTGTGTGGGAGGGGGACGTACGGCAGCATTGAAAGCAATGCCCGCTTCTTATTATCTGCGGCAAATCAATGACCGTCGTGGACTGAAGCAGCAGTACTGAGACTCTGTGCGCTCGAGATGGGCGGCGGTCTTTGGGTAACACTTTGAGACGGGGGGGGGGGGATCGAAATGGCAAACAACGCGTGTGCACAAAGCGTGCAAAGACAACGCAACAGCGTGTTTGGACAACGGCGTCACTTCCAGGTTTCCCTTGTAAAACCTGTAATAAATTATATCCCCTGTTCTCCGCAAGCCCCCCCCCCCCCCCCCCCCCACCAAACCGCATCACCACAAGCCAGGCTACGCTCAGATGCAGTCCCCTCGATTCAAAATCGTGGCAAGGAAAAAAATGCCGTGAAGGCACAACTTCTAAACGTTCCCATTCCAGCATAACGCGACTCGCACGGTTGGCCTGCAGCAACGTGCCACACGTCCCGATTACCATCCGTTTCTTTCCGTGCTGAATAAATACGATGACTTTTAAAAAAAAACACGTCACTAATTGCATGTATTCACGAATGTAGGAGCCTCATTTTTTCCCCTCAATGTTATCTATCTCTCCACACACATATCTCACTGAACGAGGTGAGATCAGTGATATACAAAATAATGTATGTAGAAAAATAGTTAAAGAAAAAAAAATCGAATACCACAATCGCAGTTGGCATAGTTGTTGACAACACAGGCGATGCAACTGCATCAGCAGCACCTGTGGGCCAGAGTGGCTAAGGCACCAGACTACACAGAGGGATTTTATTGGCCAGGGAAGGCTCGCCTGTGATTCTTTGCAGCAGGGCTCATGCTAACAAAGCTGCACCCATGTACACTCACCATCGAACAGAGACGGTCAAACTGCATTGCGCGCTTTCAGATGGGCTTCTACGGCCGCCTGGAACGCTCCTCCATCCGATATTAGGAAGCCACTGGAGCTATGCACTTTTAAATCATATACATTGAGAACTAATTTCTTTCTAACTGCTTTTTCTGTTTCGTTTGTTGTCCTTCCCCCGCACCTCCAATTAGCACGGTTGCCTACGTCCGGTGCGAACGAAGTTCAACACACGTACAATACATACAATCAATATTCATTTTTGTAAACATTTTCGGTGCATTATTCCAGCATTGCCTACTGATATTGCGCTTCGGTGCTAATGTGGAAGTCGTAGAGCATATCCTGCAGGAACTCAAAGGTGGGCCTTTCTTCTGCCCTCTCGTTCCAGCACTGCAACATCTGATTGTAGAGTTCGCTTGGGCAATTTGCTGGGCAGGGCATGCGGAATCCTTTATCCAGGTTCGAGATCAGTTGCTGGTGTGACATTCCTGAAGGGAGACGAATCACAAATGTGTGGAGATACAGAACAGAGGGTTAGTTGGTATATGTTATCACCCCATAATGCTCCACAATGACACATCATTCGTTTTGGGTTTTATATACAGGTGTGTGTGTGTGTGTTGAACAGGGTTCATCGTTTAGATGAAGCCCTCTTGCCAAAATATCATCTGGCAAACCAAGTCCTGACTGCTGATGAAGCCCAGGAGTTGAAACCTGTTCAGAGCTTGCTTTGCTTGAACAAATGTTACTGGATAACTTTGGTCTGGAAAGCCAATAGGCTAATATCTATCAATATTTTATTTGTATACAGAGACACAGAACATATATACACACACGACTGTATGTGGGCTTTACTGAAGGTCATGTCAAAGCAAATCACTGCTCCAAAAAGTATGGGGCAATGTTTACCTCCACTGTTGGCCCTGAACAAATGGTTGAAAATCACTCAGCCACTAAAGTTAGCTGTAGCCACAATATCAAACTCGGGTCGCCGGGCATGATGCTGGGTGGCCAGCATCATGCCCGGCCGCCTTTGTCTCCCTGGCAGTGTGATGTTTACACACCGCACCAGTTACTCATTTGAGGCTGAGTCGATCTTCGGGAGGCTTAGGACCGGTTCAGATCATTGCCACTGATGTTGGCCGTGAGCGGGAATCGAACCCGCGTCACCTGGCTTGTAAAACAGCCCACTAACTGCTACACTACCGCTCCCCGCTACTGCAACCCACACCCCCTATTCAACTTCCTTGCGTACAGCATTTTACTGCAAAGCCAGATGCTTTCATGGCATTCATTGCCTTGGTTACAATGTGTTAAACGAAACATCTTGAACACTAAGACTCATAACCGAGCTTCTCATGCTAACATGTAACCCTGGCGAGATTAGCGTCCATTCCTTTTCGCCTTGCTTAGATTAAGGCAATCATTGCGGCGTGTAAGTTAAAATTTACAATTGCCGATAAGTCTACCGTGCCTGATGAACACTTTTATTGCATTTATCAGTGGACCCTCACACGACCGCAGAGCACGACAGAATCATGCACCCAGTCAGCTGTAAAAAAAAAAAAGTTGAACTGTAGGCAACCTTTAGACACTTTCAGGGTATGCAAATTATCCACTGCCTGCAAGATTTCACTTCAATGCCACGCCACTCCGTTAACAACTCTGTCGCGATATCTGCAGGGTAGACCTTGAGAGGGATAAGCGGTGGCAGCAACGTTCAATGTGATGATGGCGACAACAACAAAAGAGCACCGGATTTTATTTTGCAGCCGTTACCAACAAAAGTCTAGAAATGTACAACAAACAATAGCAATAAATTGTCTTCGACATCATGGCCGGCCGAAAAGGTTGCAGGCCTCGGTACAGTACCGTGAAGTTGATTATACAACGCAAGCAAAAAATATTCCCCGTACGTAAGCAAAAAGGCATAACGCTCTCAACGCATGAAATGTAGTCCACACCCAAACTGAGCTGTGTTGAAAATCCCTACAGGTCTCAAGTTAACATTTGGCATGACATCCTTACCTGCATATGGGATCTTTCCATAAGTGATCATCTCTGTGAGGAGGATCCCGAACGACCACACGTCAGACTTGGTGGTGAAGTGGCCAAAATGCATCGCCTCTGGTGCTGTCCATCTGACTGGGAATTTGGTACCTGCCAAGTAAAAACGCACAATATGAATGTATATTATATACTGTATAGCTCTATCTGTTTGCAATTGTCAGTTTAACTGGTGGTGCTGAAAATGTCTAAGTGGCCGAGCGGTATCGGTGTTTCCCACATCGCAGAGGTTTGCCGATCAAATCCTCGACCGCCCTGGTTCAACATAAATGTGCGCCGTTGAAATCGCAGCGGGCATTAAAGGCCCCGTCACATGATTCCATGCGGGCCGGTGTCATGATACATATTTTGACATATTATTAAATTGATTCTCTACTTTGCGAATTGATATAGCTAAGAGCATCACCGCCACCCTGCTAAGAGTCTATGGCCTCACTTGCAGCTTGGAGACACCATTGCATTGCAACGTGTGATGCCATCTGTGAAAAAAAATAGCTGTATAGCGCCATCGGATTCCCCCAGTATAAATAGATCTTCTAATTCTGAAATAAATATTCTGACATTCTGACATAGTGCCACACGCGGGCACCTGTCAATCAGATGGCCTCTTTGCTTAAAAAAAGAAAACGATAGCTGGACATTGAAATGATTACGATGAGACGTAAAAAGGCCCTTTGAGATTCTGGGCCACTAAAAGCTCCCAATAAATGCAAATTCCTCATTGCTATCACGAGCGAATGGCGCTGACCTGCTTTGGACGTGTATTCGTTATCTTCGACGATGCGTGTCAGCCCAAAGTCGGCAACCTTGCAGTTCAGCAAGCTGTTCACCAGCACATTTGCCGCCCGCAGATCTCGGTGGACGTAACGCATCTTCTCCAGGTGATGCATGCCATCGGCGACCTGCCCAACGGATCGCTAGGTCACGCGCGTGGCCAAAGACGGTGGTCGCCAACATTGCGCACCTTCAGACGCCCATCTGCGGGCGTCTGCAACGCTCTTCCTTCCAATATTAGGAAGCCACTCGGGAGCTGTGCACTTTTAAATAATCTCGGTTGAAAACTCATTTCTTTAGAGCTGCTTTTTGTGTTTAGTTTGTTGTCCTTCCCCCGCACCTCCGATTAGCACGGTTGGCTACGTACGGTGCGAAAGAAGATCAACATACATAGGTGCGAACCACACACTCAGAATTCATGATATTCCAACATCCTCAATCAACAAAGATACTAGGCCAATGGCATGTGGCCCATTCTTAATTGAGCTGCACTGGTACAAATTACATTGTCCTCATATCATGATCATTTTAAATCGGACTTTTTGCATTTAAAATAATACACTTTCATCTCAAAGGGAAGACCTAAATGATTTTTTTCCCCAAAACCGCCCGTTCAAATTCGAGCGCACGTGTATGCGCACAGCTCTGTTGTCAAACACCAGGTGATGGATGTGGTTTCCTCGAGGTCACGTGTGATGCAGAACATTCTAACGACGGTAATTGGTTCCAAGAAACCGGTCGTTAGGCGAGGAAGGGAAAGACACGTTCAAGGCTTCATTCGTTTCGATGACACCGAAAGTTACCCCTTTTTAACCCAAAAAAAGTACTTTGTCATATTTTAAAGATAGATGTTAACGCATAAAGATACTAACAACATTTTAAACACATAATAGTTAAAGAAACATGGTTAATCCATGCATTAATTGATTAACCCGTCGTTAACAGGGGAAATGGCCTGTAAGCGAATGCATTGGGCTTCATGGAGGCCCGTCGTTAAGCGGTTAGTGGTTAACAGGGGTGGTCGTTAAGATACTCTACACTACTATACACTACACTATACACTACACTACTATACACTACACTACTATACACTACACTATACACTATACATTGGGCTCTATGGAGGCCCGTCGTCAACTGTGATTAGTCGTTAACAGGGGTGGTCGTTAAGATACTCTACACTACTATACACTACACTATACACTACACTACTATACACTACACTACTATACACTACACTATACACTACACATTGGGCTCTATGGAGGCCCGTCGTCAACTGTGATTAGTCGTTAACAGGGGTGGTCGTTAAGATACTCTACACTACTATACACTACACTATACACTACACTACTATAAACTATGCTACTATACACTACACTACTATACACTACACTACTATACACTACACTATACACTACACTACTATACACTACGCTACTATACACTACACTACTATACACTACACTATACACTACACTACTATACTACGCTACTATACACTACTATACACTACACTACTATACACTACACTACTATACACTACACTACTATACACTACACTACTATAAACTACACTACTATACACTACACTACTATACACTACACTATACACTACACATTGGGCTCTACGGAGGCCCGTCGTCAACTGTGATTAGTCATTAACAGGGGTGGTCGTTCAGAAGGGGTTCTACTGATCATGCAACTCGACGATATAACTCCCAACATCGGCGAATGCGCCTCACCTCTGCCGCCATGAGGATGAGCCTCGGAATCAGCACCTCTCTCCCTTCCTCACTCCGCAGGAAGTCCAGCATGCTCCCTGTCGGTGACATGTCCACGGCCGAGTCAGCGAGCAACACTGATGGAGGCCGGCCTCGACGCCGTGCGCACACTGCACGCATCTTCGGCCGGGTCCAACACCTGAGCGATCAGTCCCAAGGGGCTTTATTGCAGTACAATCGAATCGCCTATACGCGGACGCGCCTGCAAAAGGGGGTTGCGAGCAGTCACCAAACCGGTTTCAAGGACTTGACAAAGTCGTCCACACATACCCATAGGGTCAATGTCTGTATAGCGTAACGCATAGAGATATACGCACACACCCATAGGGTCAATGTCTGTATAGAGTTACTGTATGTATGCATGTTGAACTTCTCTCGCACCGTATGCATAGCCAAACCTGCTAATCGGAGGCGATTGCTCGTAGACACATACACACACACACTCGTAGAGTCCATGTCTGGCCAAAGTTCGGAAAATCACTGTGCAGACAAGGTTGGCCTCGTGAGTCATATGCAAAGCCATTAAGTTTCCATTGTGTTGTCTCGGCTTTGTCCGGCAGTCACCATCGTGAGTTTCAAACAACACCCGGACACGTGCGAAAGCCCCTCTCGTCCCTTTGTGACATTACGCAAAATAACTGGCAGCAGTTCCTGGAGAATGTCATTTTTCCCCCCCTCTCTATTCTTTTGTATTGCATTGTGGCCCTTCCTCTCTTAGCCTTCGGTCGCAATAGTTTTCGATCCTACAGCCATCAGGCGCACAATCGCCACAACAACGACGGCGACAAAAACCACGCGGCCCTTGTACGCGCGCGGTTCGCTCGGTTGCGAACGCGCCTGCCGGTGTGGGCAAAGAGCGCCGACCTTTCTCCATGTACTCGGTGATGATGAGGATGGGCTCCGAAGACACGACCGCGTACAGCTGCACGAGGCGCTCGTGCCGCAGAGTTTTCATAATGTTGGCCTCGCCGAGGAAGGCTTCGCAGGACATGCTTCCCTCTCGCAGTTTCTTCACCGCCACCTTCATGTTCTGCTTGTAGAGGGCTGCGTGCCGACACATTGTAACCGATTCTTATGCCCCCGCGTGCGTATGTATGCATGTATGCATGCACGTTGAACTTCTTTCGCATCGTACGTAGACAAACCGTGCTAATCGGAGATGCCGGTGGTGGGGGGGAGGGGGGCGGTGAAGGATAACAAACTAAACACAAAAATAAACTTCTAAAGAAACGAGTTTTTTTTTAATTAGTTTTCTCAATACTTAAACCTACGGTACATAATGCGGAGCGGTGGCACAGCGCACGAGCCACTGCGATAGGAAGAAATACACCCGGGTTCGATTTGATTGCCTACGGCTAAGAGTGTTAAGCGATATCTGATCTTGTACTGGCTTGCCCCCGTCACGAAACTCGCACTGACCAGCGAGGTGAAGTATGGCCAAACGATGCCCAACAGTTGCTGTAAATATGTGTACAGGGTGGCCACAACGTCCCTTTGCAACGTGCATCCTTGCAGCAAGATGGGGCTCAGGCACATTACGCCCTCGCAATTTGGCAATATTTGACTCGGGAATTCAGTGGAGGATGGATTGGTAGGCGCTTTGATATGACATGGCCACCCCGAAACCCAGGCCTGACAACTCCGCTCCCGACGTGATAATTCCCTTATGGAATGTTTGTCTTGTGGGGATTATCATGGTGAATGCTTCACAGTCAACATTGGCAAACATTGAGGAACACAAAACGGCAGTCCAGAACTGCTCTCACAGTCGGTAGCCATCCATTTGGAAGAATCTGTTAATAAGAACTTGGGTGTGCGTGTGCGCACGAATCCAGATGCGTGCTGAGAATGGTGAAGGTACATTATAGATATTTTTTTCATGCAGTTAAGATGCGAAAGAATTGAGTGGCGTGTTCATTGATATTTCTCTTACCCAACCAGACTTCTCCAAACTGTCCGCTTCCAAGCTTTTCGATGTCTTTGAGGTCGCGTCGATCGATCTCCCAAGTGTTATGTTCAAACGGCTGGGCTGGAGTCACACTCTGACAAGGCTTTTTCAATCGCTGGCAGAGCCCAGCGTCGGTGCCTGCAAGTAGAAAAGTGTGTTGATGAAAAGAAAAAAAAAACATTAATCGGGCACGAGAAAGTATTAGGAATAAAACTACAGCAGAATCAATGTTATGGGTGACACTACGTTGGCAGCAGTGCACAATATTGATAAGTAGGGATAGGTCACTTGTCAGAAAAACATGAGAAAAGGCCTTAATGGACGCACGATGTTGAACTTCTTTGGCACCATACGTTCTAAAGAAATTCGTTTTCAATCTAGATGGTTTAAAGGTGCATAGCTCCAGTGGCCTCCTAACATCGGAATGAAGAGCGTTCCAGACCGCCGCAGAAGCGCATCTGAAAGCGCGTCATCGAACGAAGACGGTGACCGTCTTTGTTTGATGGCCAGCAGCCAAAGGCCTCGATGAGTCCGCATGATGGCTCATGCTCCTCGACCAGGTCAGCAAGGTTACTGCGCTTCATTTGTGGCACGAACTTTGCGTGCAGTGAGTGCGACCTCGCATCGCATTCGTCCGGCAACTGAAAACCGATGGCAGCTCTGGCGAGCACGGGCAGACGCGCATGGCAAGGTGTGGGAGGTGATTAGAAGTGCAGGTGACTGGGGAGGGTGATTGCCAAACTCTTGAGACAGCGCATGAGGAGGAGCACTGGCGGAGCCAGTGGGGGTGGGGGGTGGGGTGGCACGTGCCCCCCGTCCCCCCCAATTATCCGATCGAAATTCATAATTTCGATCGGATCATTGGGGTTTATTAGTAATATAAATCGGAATTTTGCGACCCCCACTGCCACTGTGTAGCATATTATTACATGCCACGGACTCTATGAGATGATAGGACAATAGTCTGAGTCCATAATTGGCAACAAGTAACGGCAAAGCGGTTATAAGTGACTCAGAATTGTGCGCAGTTGCGTACACAGAGTACACGACTTCCCTGAAGGCATTCACCTTCAGCGAGCGCGATGACGATCACACAACGCGGTTCGAACTCGACCCTCGATCTATGGCTGCGCCATCGCCACACACACGTCAAATAAAACGCAAGGGACAAGTCCTTACTTACTAACAACTCCTTACTTACTAACAACTCCTTACTTACTAACAACTCTTTACTTACTAACAACTCCTTACTAACAACTCCTTACTTACTAACAACTCCTTACTTACTAACAACTCCTCTTTCATTTTTCATTGCTGGAGGGGTTGCCCCCCTACCTGAAAATCCTGGCTCCGCCATTGAGGAGGAGCCACCTAACTTAGGGAGTTAAACGTAGGTTTTACCAAGAGGAAATGGTTGCTGGAGTGCAGAGTCCAGTGTCCATCGAGAATATTTTTTTTAAAGAGGAAGGCTGGTCTTGAAATCGCTTGTAGATTTAATTGGCAGCGAAAACATTTGAGGATTGGCAAAAAATATGAGCTCTTCGATGGGTTGTGTCAGAGGTCTGACGGTATCGCTCTGGATCAACGGGCAGAGTTTTGCAGTCAGCAGTGTCTTCATGTTTTGTGGAAATATAGCATGCCGAATAACCAGGAAAACCTCACGGATACCCACTATTCTATTTCAGGAGGGTCCTACACTAAGATGGTTGTCCAATTTCTATTCATGCGTCTTTGGCTTGTTGGAGGATACCAGATTAAACCCATGCATATGCGGGGATAACATTGAAAACTCCAGACACATTCAATCCATCTCTGTACTGCCTTATCCTGGCTAAACTGCAGATCTGTCAAGATTCAAGAAAACATAATTTTCCTTCTAGATTTGAAGTTTTCGTGACTGCAAGGATCCATAAAATGAAAACGAAATGTCGTGATTTAACTTAGTTGTCTTCATTTCAATTTATTTACCTACGTGACTTTACCGAAATAACCAAATAGTATAATTTTCGTGATTGTTTTTTTTGTTGTCCAAATAAAGTGTGGCTGTGAAAGGTTTACGAAGAGATATGATGAATGAGCAATGATGCACGTACTCTGGTAATAGCTGACGAGTTCGTGCAAGCTTTGGAAGACATTGCGCGTTGAGATGTAAACCCCTCCATTGTCCATGCGGCGGATCTTGTAATGCTTCACCATTTGTCCATCGCGTATCGACAGAGAGTAGCTGTCTGTGAATACAGAGGAGGTGCAAACACGTCATCACCATCGTCGCTATCATTTCGCGATATAATTCAGAACAGGAATCTCTCTACGGTGCTGGAATTCGTGGTGTTTTTATTGGTACTCCACCCTATGCAGTATGTATTCAGTTACGATCTTTAGATTACGTATTTATGTGCCTGTTTCCTTCCCTTGGTCATTGCAAAAATTCTGGCCATAACCAAAGTACAGGAGTTCACTGTTAGATTATCAACGAGAATGATCAATTAGCGTTCAGGCTTGTGTATGCAAAAAGGCAAATCAGTGCACGTGGTATCTTGTTTCTGGGCAAAACAGAAGGAGGCATTTCGAGCCGACGACTTTGGTCGTCTGTGCCCAAAATGTTTCGGCCGCAGCTTTCTCTGCACGACAGCGATCCGGCCTTCGCTGCTACTGCCAGCAAAGGCGCCAGGAGCCAAACTGCGTTGCTGTCGCACGCGCATGGCTCTGCTCTCTTGGCAGATTGACATATTGGAGGAGGAGGAGGAGGTGGAGGAGGTGGGGAGGGGCTCTTCCCATGCCGGCCAGACATCTACGAAGAGGTTGGGAGGACCCAGGATTTGTTTCAACCGCAAACGACTTGCTGCTGATCGACTAACAGCGGTGCGCCTTTTGCTTTTTTACACGCTTTCATTTAACTCACTCTGGCTGTTGTTGTATCCTAAAATCCTCGTAACTCGTTGTTAACCCTCTTCCCAATGTGGTATCGACTACAAACTTGGTATACTTATGTCATACTGATGACAATACTATATTCTATCATGTAAAAAAAATGTAACATTATTTTGTATATGTTATGTTTCACCTTGGGTGTAATAATTGTCCACGCTCAACTGCCGTTGGCTGTAAATCACCACGGTCCCCTTACGTTGTGGCAAGCTACGGGGCCACTTCCTGGAGTCGTGGAGTTCTTCAATTACTAGTACGGTACATTTCATAAAAGCGTGTTTTTTTTATTTAATTACTTATTATGACTGCATCGTCGACAGATGTGTATGGGAGGAGATGACAATAAAAACGCCTTTCACCGTTGTTTCAACATAGCACCGGCGAACTCTGGATTGCGAAGTCGATTGCGCGAACGGCTGACCATGAGGACACGGCAGCTTACCTAGTGAATTATTATATGAGTGGGTCACCATAAATACTGCTGGAGGCGTGGCCAGGCGCTGCATTGGCAGTAGTAAAGCATGAAGGAATACCTTTCACAGTCTCGCTGTCGCGAATCAGAAAGGAGCCGTTGGTGTTCCCTTTTAACAGCAGAAGATTTTCAGCGTCGCTTCGCCTCGTGTTCTTGAAGAACCACCTGAAATCAAACGCCAACAAATAAGCATATTTCACTTTTCGAACGGGGCAAAAACATACGCCATTCATAGGTAGCATAGAGTTAAAATTGCTTAAGAAATTAACACATCGTGTTTTTTTTAGGAGGAGGAGGAGGTGGGGAGGGGCTCTTGTTGATTATAAGGAGCTGTCCATAAATGACGTCACGCGATTTTGGACGATTTTTGACCCCCCCTCCCCCCTCGTCACACGGCGTCACAAAAATTCAGACCCCCCCCCTCAAATATGACGTCACAAAACTCTGCCCCCCCCCCCCAAAAAAACACACATGCTTCAAATCGCTTTAAACTATTGTCATTGTAGTGTGTATTTAATGTGGCGCTGCACTCTGATGTTGTAGGAGAAAACATTTATTAAAAAGTATATTTAATTAAGTAGAACGTGTTGGCTATATTTATTTAAAGTTGCGCATTTTGATGTGACGTCACATTTCTCAACCCCCCCCCCTCGTCACACATCGTCACAAATGTCTGACCCCCCCCCCCCCAGGTGCGTGACGTCATTTATGGACGGCCCCTAAATCCACACAGCACAATAGGTAGAAGTAATACATTCACGACGACGAACTATATTCTTGGTTCTTTCGGTAAAGTCACGCACCTATTTTATATTTTATTATTTTATTGTTTCCCATCAACGTGACTTTACCGAAAGAACCGAGAATATGAATCACTGCAGTCACGAAAGCTTTAAATGAGAAGACGAACTCGTTCGTGTTGTCACTTACTCTTCTTTCTCAACAGAGTTCGCTGGCACCACGTAGTTACTCGGGATGAAACCTTCCCGATTACTGCTGATGAACCGAACCTTCCACCAGTCTGTTGATCTGTTAAAGGGATAACGGTGAGAAGATTAAACATCATGATCAAATGTATATTCTGCCCCACGGCATTGAGGGGGGGGGGGGGGGTGACAGGAAAATGCATGATAGAAAAAAAACAGAACTACTGTTACTCATTCTGTTTTGGCATTTAACTATTGTTAAACTTTTGCTTATTGACTGTTTCATGCGCCCCATAAATTGTTTACCCACCATTTAAACAAGGTCATGCTACGGGACGAGCGCATTATATATTTCATTTGCTGGCAAAGTGAGTCAAATGCATTGCAGCGCAACGTAATTCCTAGATTCGGGGTCGAGTTGCGGTGAATCGGTGCACTACGCTCGGAACGCGCTGGGCCAGAGTTGAATTCCCGGTCACGGCCAAAATCGGTGGCAAACGAAATGGAACTTAATCCTGGACACCACCCCCTTCCCCGTCCTCGCCCACCCCTGCGCGAATCCCATACCGACGAGCGTGAACTATGATCAAACCAACCCCCTAAGATCGACCTGGTGCGGAGACACCGTCGTCCAGAAGCTACTGGACATCTGCGAAACTGGCAAAGAGAGCTTCAAAGCTCATCGGATTCCTCCAGTCGAATTAAAGATTCTGATTCAGTCGCTCAGCGAAGGAACTGTTGTTGTTATTATCATTATTTCGAGTGTGTGTGCTTTTACGGCATTATTTGTTCAACGATTCATCTCAATGTCGTTTCGGTGACTTACCTATCAAGGACCACCATCCTCTGGCCTTTGTTGAAGCTCATGTCGTCGTTGTACAAGGCCGTGTAGGTGAAAATGGCCACATACACATTGTCTGGAATAATAAAGGTAATGAGCGAAGATGATTTATTGCTCAGGTTCAATGGCTCGTGTGTATATATACACACACACAGTACAAGCACGCAATGCAATCACACGTTTGTGCATTTTGTTCAAGATAAATGTTACACGTGCACACAGATGCTGCTTTAAGTCAATGCGCTGTCATCACGAAAGTGGTTGTTATTTTGTTTTGTACAACAGACGTCAGCATAAACATACTAGCAAAGAAAACGTCGCTAAGGCATATTGGTGTTGCTTACCGATTCCCCGATCAGGCGTGCGATTTATGAACAAAATTAATTAACGGTTCGTGTCTATATGCGGTATATGTTTAGAGATGGGTGTTTCATATCCTGGCTCAGCGAAATAGGGCCATTCAAGCCAGGTGGTTCGTGATAGAACACTCGTATAACACTCCGGCTTTACAGGAACCCAGAAGGTTGCTTGTAAAACATTTTTTGAAATCACTTTCGAAACCAATATTCCACCTCAATGATATGATCATCATTAACATACGCAGGATGGTATCAGTAATTTACCTGCCTGGTATTTCCATCTTCGTTTAATATTAACGGTTTAATAGAAACTCCAATAGAGTCACGTCAGCCCTTTGCAACGTAACGTGCTATCCGCAGATATATAATATTTGTGATGTCATACATGTACAACAAACAGGAGTGAAACTACTGCGGAAGGTTTTATGCATTTCCGCTGTACAGCTCTCCGCTGCGTTATAAGGGCTGTGTTCCGATTTGTTTGGCGCGATGTTTCACATATGCGAAGAGCTTCCTCGGGAACTGAACTCATTTAAGTTAAATTTTGATGTAAAGCTTTCGTGACTGCAGGGATTCATATTCTTGGTTCTTTCGGTAAAGTCACGTAGAAGGGAAACAATAAAATAATACAAATATAAAACAATAAAATTTTCACGACGTTTCGACTGCAACACAAGCAATCATCATCAGGTGTGAAAACCACAGCAAGAAAATGTAAAAAAAGTGGCGATTTTTTTTGGACGTTAGCACCACGGAGAGTGATTTGACAGTTTGGCCACATGGCCGGCTTGCTCTAGACCAATTCTTCGACCACATAAATTCCATACACCCAGCCATCAGATTTACCATGGAAGTCGAAAAAGATGGCAATCTATCTTTTTTGGATGTCCTAATAAAAAAGAGACCTGATGGTTCAATGAGCCACTCTGTCTACAGGAAAGCTACCCATACGGATGCTTATCTGAAAGCGGATTCCCACCACCATCCATCACAGAAGAATTATCTCATCAAGACTCTGTTCCATAGAGCCCAATGCATATCCGACCAGGAACACATAGCCAGTGAACTCAAGCACGTACACCAAGCTTTTAAGGCTAATGGTTATTCCGACTACACAATCCGCAAAGTTATCACTCCAACCATGAAGAAGGACCCTCTTGAGGAGCCTTTCAAAACCATCACTTTACCCTACATTGCGGGGATCACAAAAAAGATCTCCAAAATCTTGAATAAACACAAGATCCAGGTCCGATTCAACACATTACATAAAATCCGTGATCTAGTTCTGTCTGTAAAAGATGTGATTCCGGACATACAGTACCCTGGCGTCTACAAACTCAGTTGCCTCTGTGGTAGTAGTTACATTGGAGAAACCAAACGACATGTCTCAGACCGCATTCGTGGACACAAAGCAGACCTAAACACGGTAGGACGAACACCTCGGCCGTGGCAGATCACTGTTATAATTCAGTAGGCTCACATGACATTGACTTCTCTTTGCAAGCCATCTGGCTACCATGAGAGATTCGTTCATGAGGCAATCCACAAATACAGAGACAATTTCAACCGAGAAGATGGATTCTGGCTTAGCAATCATTGAAAGGATTTGATAAACCATTTCGGGTCTTAATTGATTGATCACGCTTAAGGTGGCTTTCAGACCGCATCCATTATTTTTCGTCTCCCCCCTCCTCTTTTCCGAACATAGATGGACTCGTCCATCTGAACAAACTGTCAAATCGCCATCCGTGGTGCTAACGTTAAAAAAACGCCACTTTTTTCAAATTTTCTTGCCGTGGGTTTTCACACCTGATGATGATTGCTTGTGTTGCAGTCGAAACGTCGTGAGAATTTTATTCATTTAAGTTCCCCAATACATCCACAACATTTACTCTCCAAGGCAGCGGCGGACTGAAGTGGTAAACTAACCTGCGCGTTGTTTACGTGACAAACCTTACTGGCTTTGTAGGGTGGTGGAGGGTTACGACACAACATTTATTCTTACGCAATCTAACCCAAAAAAACTGTATTATTCTTAAATAAAGCCGAGTGGAACTCACAACTGAAACGTTTCTCAGGAATATCCTAACATATCGAGTAAAATGTCGGACATCAATAGGCAGTAAAACCTAGGAAATACATTGGGAGGGAAATAACATTACCAAGTAAATGTTTTGGGCGGAAAACCTTCTTTATATTTTCTCCAGTGTTAAGTTAGGACCTGAGCGATGCATTGGGAACTGTACTCTGAATAGGTAAACATTTAAATAGCAGCTGATTATGGACCTGGCGCAAGTGTGCTCAAGACAATTAACGAAATACTGCGCATGACCAACACATAAAATATAATTCCATTCATAATCAGAGGGTTTTAGAACATCACAGATGGAGATATTCGATATCGATTACAAGTTAAGCGTTGTTTTACTTGTTGGCAATCTACTCCAAGGGTAATTGTATCGCATGCGGGTTCCACATGTTTAGATTGTTGTGCTTCACAATGCACGCCACTTCGCTACGCACGGTGCGAAAGAAGCTACAACACACTTATGGAATATTCTTGGTTCTTTCGGTAAAGTCACGTGGAAGGGAAATAACAATAAAAATAATAAAATTCTCACGACGTTTCGATTCCAACACAAGCAATCATCATCAGATGTGAAAACCACGGCAAGAAAATGTTCTTGTTATGGCGATTGCTTGTGTTGCTTGCTGTGATGATTGCTTGTGTTGCAATCGAAACGTCGTGAGAATTGTATTGTTTAATTCTTATTATTTTATTATTTCCCTTCTACGTGACTTTACCGAAAGAACCAAGAATATGAATCCCTGCGGTCACGAAAGCTTGAAATCGAAATTTACACTCATGGCAATAAACGAGTAAGACAGTGAAATTACTTTTGGGTGAAAGAATTAAACTGTGCACGCAAGCGCATCTTTAGGTTTCGTTCGTATTTATGACTTTCAAAGGCTCCTTGCCAATCTCTGTTCTGCGCGAGTCTGTCTTTTGTCATAACTCCTATCTTGACATAAATTCTGGTTATTATTTTGTTGTTGTCATAATTCCTTTCCCCCCTCTTTTTTGAATCATCATGAAATGTTCATTGGTGTGTATTGCGAAGCGCTTTGGGATACTTACGCATTTAATCGCTCAATAACAGCACGCGATTATCCTAACCCTTATCTCTTCTTGAGTTTAAAATGAGAATGGGTAACGAAGTGAGCCACGTGGCAGTTCGTCAAGGGTTCCCACGCTGATAATCACCAAACTTAAACAAATTGTTTGGTGATATTGCGTTAGCAGTGATGCACAAGGACAAATAATAACAACAAAAACAGCACATTCGTCAATTCCCTAACTTGTCAGATAAGCGATGACCTGACCGACCGAAGCTATGATAACAAACTAAAAACTTTACTTGTTCATCATGGCCTTTGCAGACGAAAGTTGAAATTGTCTCACAAAATGTATGGTTTAAGATTCACCTAGTTATTTTAATCGCATTGTTTTATTTGTGTTATTAGATTATGATAATATTAATAATGTGTGTACAGGAGTCTTGGCGTGTGAAGTTTGATTTATTCAATAACATGTCCATGTGCACATGGTGAGACCAGAAAGGAAGAGCTACTCTCGGCAGTCTTATTGATGCCTGTGTTGAGTTTGTGTTTCATTACTTTAAAATCACCAAAGTCCATGCCACAATGCACGCCTAACAATCCGCGTGTCACGCAATCGCAGTCCCGGGACAATGCACTGGACATGAATCTCCTCCGATCATCTCTTTTTCCCCAATTTCTTATCGCCTCTCTCTATTCAAGAGACACGTTAACGATTTCACGCGCCCACACATTCAATAGCACCGCGTCCTTCCTTGTATGCCTTGTATTTTTTTTTGGGGGGGGGGAATTCTGAGGCTGCGTTCGGCAAACGTGATAAGATAAACGGTGCGCTAAGTACATTTGATTTAATATGTCCTTTAATTTGCTCACCATAGTGTGTGGTTCAAACCAAAAGTCTGCCGACTAAAATAATGTTACGACAGCCAGTCAGACGTCGGGGGTATGACATTTTAAAAGTGTAGAAAGTCAAATGAATGCATTCATGAATTAAAACATACCTGGCTGCGGGATGCATTTCAAGTTCACACGGTGTTGGACATCGGCGGTTGGTGAGATTTAAAAAAAAACACAGAGGAAAAATATACGTTAAGTTTAATATATATTCTTCATGCAATCGCGTTTTAATCCTTGTGGTGTTTTGTCGCCAAAAATGTGACTAAGCAGATATTCTGTAAATAAGGGGCGATATTGTTTATGACGAGCACGTCAAATATACGCAAAGCAGAAAAAAAGGTGCTGTTGAGTTCACTTGCAGTGATTACAGGAATCTGGATTGGTGGTTTCTTTTTCTCCTTTCGACTTGCGCTTCCCATTTCGCTGACGAGGTGTGATGAAGCTGAAACAAACATCAGTTTTTTTGTTTTATTGAATATACATATATAAATACGAGGCCGTAGCCATGGAGTCAACATTGGGGGGGGACTAAATCTTCCAGAGGGGTCTGGGGGTCCCCCCCCAGAAAAAAATCTAAATTTGGAAACGAATTTCCTGTCTAAAATGTCAAAAAAATCACTAACACATAGGATGGACTTTTTATTTATGCTTTACAATAATGTCTAAAGGTGTATTGTAATACATGGCTCTGTTTTTACTTTTTTCTTGTTTCATTGTATGTAATGGCAGATATTAGGGATTAATAAAGTACAACCACAACCACAATCATTTAAACAGAAATCTATTTTATA